AGGCTACTTAAGAAAATTTCACTTCCTCTTCGACCACTAATATACTTACCTGCAAAATTTGAATTTCTTTGTCCCTCATTGGTGCAATTTGCTAAGTTCGTTAAGTTTGTTGCTTCTAATCAGTGGACCAAATCTGAGTTCAAAGAAATTCTTAAACCTTGGCCACTGCAGATTTGCCCAACCAGGACCCAACTTCATGAAGCAAAATTGTGCTTTGGCTTCAAGACTAAAGGAGGCCAAGGAGACTTTATCATCGTCTGGTGTAAGTTGATACTGGAAAATTATTTCAAAAAAAAAAGGTTGATACTGGATAAATGTTCACAACAACCCAACCACGGTAAGGGATACCATCTTTACATGAAAATTCTAATTTCATGTAAAGACACAGAAACGGCGATCAGCATGGTGGTGGTCATTGTGTGCAGCAAGATCACCAGCAACTTCTGTCATTGCACAGTGGGGCTGGGAATTTTCTTCCTTGTGCAGTTTGTGCATGGCGGAATCTGCCGCACTGAGATGGCGTGACTACTGGTGGTCCGCCTGGCTGCTTCCTTCAACAGACTCCTTCCAGGCAGAGTTCTAGCTGGCAACTCCTACATTTTTCCCGCTGAAAATTTAAACTTTAATTTGTCCTGTTCCCAGTCATCTTGACAAGTCTGCAGAAATTTCTCAAACATAGATTGTAAATCCCCCATAACTAATGATTTTGATACTATATTGTTATGGTCCTGACTAATGGATCTAGTTATGAAACAGTTAACACATAAGTCAGCAGAACAAACAAAGTTCCTTGATTTTCTGCCCGTACCTATTTTTAGATTGGAATTAAGGGCTTCGTTAGGAAAACAGACTCCTATGATCTCTAGAGTAATAAAGAACTATGCTTTAAAATTATTCTTCATACATATTTTGTCTTAAGAACTGCAAGTCTCGTTTTATTATAATAAGAGGATAGCCATCTGGAAGTTATTTCCAGAATTTAATAACTACATTGTCTAATCCCCTTAACTTCTTACTACTACCTACCTATACTTTACCAAATATTTCTACATTATATTCTTGCAAAATAAAACATAAAAAAAATAGAACACAATATTCTTGCAGAATAATCTTACAAATTTTCCGAATATTCTTCTTCTTTCCTTATTACCTACACGTTTTTTTGAAATAAAACCTTATTACCTACATCTTAGTTGCACCCTAACATTCCACATCAAGAATAGAATGACCTTCAAACGAAATCCTGAAAAGGTTTTTAAGCAACAATCTCTAATGCTAGCAATATTAGATAAAATTCCCTCAAAGACTCTCTTATTCATTTCTCTTAATACAGATGATAAATTATTTTCCCCATTAGACAAAAACCTTCACTTCATACTTGACAACCTCTTCTCAAACTCGGGCATAACTGGCTTCCAGGTTGCTTTATCTTTACACTTGGCACCGACAGGAAGCGAAATATTTCAGCAAGAAAAGACTAATTTTGCATCCCATAATCGACAGCTACTCCTCTGTTTCCACCACCTCTCATACCAGAACTAACTTAGCCAAGTTAATCTGAAGCATAGAAACTACTTGAAAATAGAGCAACAAGCATTTTGTGTTTATCATAAGCCCCAGAGTCTAGCCTACAGAAAGTGAAGCATTGTCAGCAACCAATAAATGAGTCACCTAGATAGCAGCTTCATCCTCTGCCATTTTCAAGACTTCAACCCCTCGATTAAATTAGCCTCTCTAGCTTTGAGGATCACCCTGTTGAACACCCATAACCACAATAAAAAGGAAGAAAGATTGAGGATTGCCCTATACAAGGCCTTTTGAAGCCTTCGAGAAATCTATGGGTCCTACATTCACCAAAATAATGAAAAATATAGATGGATACTTGACCCATATAGACCATTAAAGCCCAAACCTGAGCGCTAGAGCAGATAAAGAAAGAAACCACACCTATCACCTGCTTAGTAAGCCAACCAAGATTGTGAAGACACAGTTTCATACTCCTTTCCATTTGTGCTTAGATATTTTTTGTTTCTGATGAGGATAACCAATTGCCCAATTTAGTTTAGATATCCCAAGATTTTTTCCCATCTTAGGAGCATGATGCAGAAGAAGTTTAATTATATAGATTTTGTACTGATTAGGAATTTTGTTTCTTTCAAATTCACTATTGGTTGTAACAGTATGAACAGGACTAGGATTTTAATATTAATGGATTCTTTAAAGTTTCTCACTAGAGTTGCCAATGCCAATAAGATTAGGAACTTAGGAACTAAGAGGAACTTAGCTCTTACAATCAATGATAAAGGTAAGAGAGAGATATAAGGAAGAAGGAAATAAAGCATTAGGCAGAGAATAGTTTGACCACAAATTAGCCAAGTAACAAGAGAAAACAAAATTCTCCTAGCTCCTGACAAAAAAATTATTTTAATCTTCCATTGTCGTCTTTGTTGCATGCTAACAAACCATTGCTTGAATAGGGACTACAAACAAATACCTAAATGATTTTATCTTGTATGCATTAATCACAGAGGATCTTTTTGTAGTGGATTAATAAGAGAATGTCTTAGTGCTGGAAAATCCAAACTGTGCACAGAAAATTTGTTGCATAAATAGTACATGTGAAATTAACAGGTGGATTTAGATCATTTACTTTTATTTCAAAAAAAAAAAACAGGTGGATTTAGATGTTTACAAAGTCACTGTAGAATCATGGATCTATCAGGAACTTTTGATTAGTAAGTATTATATTACAATTAAAGTTAGAACTCGTTTCCCCAGATATTGCATGCAAATGGATACATCTGAAATGAAATCAGCTCCAAATTACAAGAACTAAAAAACAAGTTTTGAAAAGCACATACACTGAAGAAGTTCACAAAGGCAGGATCATCAGGGACATCAGTGACGGTGGAAGTAGTTGTTGATGATGGCTCCAGGGGACCATCCATAACTGCCATGGTTGGGACAGCTTCCAGTTCCTCAAATTCACTGCAGTAGAAAATGACAGAACATTTAAGTTGTAATAATGATATTATCATTTAGAATGGATACAGTCATGCCATAAAAGGCAACCAATAACAGCATATATGAAAATGTAACACTATGTCAAAGATAATGGTGGGAATGCAATACTATCTTGATAATATCACACAACAAGGATTTATGTTCACCTTGGATTACTTTAGGAGGCTTATTGGAAACCAGAATATCTCATGTTCCAAACTCACCCACACATTCATACAGTCATTCTGCCAGATAAAAACATACACAAGCAACTTTGACAATTAGGCAAGACATTATGAAAAGATGTAATGATTTTGTAACTCTTATAAACCTCAAGATCATTAGTTAGATCCTTTTTGGCTAATCTTCATATATATCATACAAACATCAGGCCTGTCAACAAGATAAGGACAACTTAATTTTTCTAGCATCCAATAATAGCCCAAACTTTTATGGTTTCCCAGGCAACACTAAGCCATTGTAAGATTTGCTTCTCATGATTAGCAACTCTGCTTTTGGAAAAGAACACTGCAGTTAGCAATCATTCTATCACATGTTAAAGCAAACCAAACTCAAACTTAGGATTAAAAGCGAAGTTTGAGAACAAAATAACTGTTAGATAAAACTGGGCTTCCAAAACCAGAAAATGTAAAATCAAACATAAAGCAAAGTAATAAAGCAATACCTTTTTGTAGGTGATACCTTTGACTTCTGTGGGACTTTGGAATATGCATTAAGTATTCTGAAAAATGTAAAAACTAGTCATAAAGAATCACTTGAGATATACTTGTTCAAGTACATATATTTTTTTTTTAAATAAAAGATGAAATTGTTATTATTTACAAAAAGTACTAAAGGAGTACCACCCAGTTACATAATAGTTATATATCAATTAGGTGGTCAATGACGCACCCCAAGTCCTCCCAATCTAATATGTCATGGCCCAGAAAAGTGGATCCAAAAGTATGAAACAATCTATTCTTGATGTTTACAAAGTCCATTTCTATTCCCTCAAAAGTTCTAGCATTCATTTCTTTCCACACAACCCAAAAAATGGTAAGTGGAACAAAAAATAAATGTTTTTTCTTTTTACAAATACCTGCCCAAGCCCATAGTTCCTTACTTACATTACCCGCCATAACCCATCTCATTCCCATACCCGAACAACGACATCCATAAGCTATGAGTAACCGGGCAAAATAATAAGATATGGTCACATGTCTCCTCATCAGCCTTGCATAAGAAATATCGATTAACAAGGATGTTGCCCCGCCTCTTTAACATGTCAATAGTCAAAATACTTCCTCTTGAGACTTCCAAAGCAAAAAAAGCCACCCTGGGGGGCCTGCAACTTTCCAGATTTGTCTAAAAATGGGGCTGTCATATTATTCCCGTTGTCCTCTTTGGTTATAAAATTGTACCAGCACATTGATTAAATCCATTCTTCTCATCCAACTTCCATATCCTTCTATCCTTCTGATTATCCATGTTAATTTCTACCAGCACATTGAGTAAATTACAAATTCATCAATTTCCCAGTCCTGCAAGTTCCTTCTAACCTGTACACTCCACCCCCTTCCTCCATCAAAATTCTCATACACTTTATCCACTGTAATGTCCCTCTCAGTAGCAATATTGTAGATATTAAAGAATATGTTTTTCATTTTGAAAGTCTCCGCCCATTCATCCTGCCAGAACCTCACTCTTTCTCCATTCCCCACCATCCATCCCATTCAATCCCGAAAATTACTGCCTTCTTCACTGATTTTCTTCCATAAACTCATCCATGCGGTTTGTATTTCCCTCTTCTCCCTCCATGCCGCTCCCAATCCCCCTATCTCGCCTCCACCACCTTCCTCCAAAGTTTATCATTCTCATTACAATACTTCCAAAGCCATTTCCCTGAAGTGCAACATTCAAACCCACAGTGGATCTAAGCCCAAGCCCACCCCTATCCATAGGTTTCTTCACCTCCTCCCACCTTACCAAATGATATTTTCTACAACCATCATCATCACCCCAAAGAAATCTGCATTGGATCCTTTCAAGCTTTGAAGCAATGTTAACCGGAATAGCTAATAAAGAAAGATAGTAAATTGGGAAGTTAGCTAATGTACTCTTGATTAATGTAAGCCTCCCCTCTTTAGATAAAAACTCCTTTTCCAACCTGCAAGCCTCCTCGCAAACAGCTCCACAATCGGATCCCAAGTCCTAACATCTTTAAATTTCGCCCAAGGGGAATCCCAGATATTTGATGGGCAGGGAAGTGTTTTACAACCCAGCACCCTGGCCATCACTAACTCATCCCTCCTATCCCCCAACCTAACCATTTCCGTATTTCTCATATTGATTCTCAGCCCGGACACCATTTGAAAACAAATTAAAATACATCTCAAATCAAACAAAAAGGATAAGTCCGGTTCACAAAAGATGAGTGCATCGTCGGCAAAAAATAAATGAGAAACTTTCACCCTAGAATCGCCATCCCCCACCGATATGTCTCTCACCAGATCAAGCTCTCTAGCTCTCACCATCAGCCTGCTAAAGGCTTCCATAACAGTAAGAAAAAGCAGGGGACACAGTGGGTCCCCTTGGCGAAGGCCCCTTGACGCCCTGAAGAAAGACGAAGGACTACCGTTCACCATCACGACAAAAGAGGATATAGATATACAATTCTTTATCCATTTACACCCAAAATCCATCCTCTCAAGCATATAAATAACAAAGTCCCGACAAACATGATCATAAACCTTCTCCATATCAATTTTACAAATGATACCTTCTTTTTTCTGCCCCATCATATCATTGACTACCTAATTAGCCACCATAACAGCATCAAGAATTTGCCTTCCTTCCACAAATGCATTTTAGTTCTCCCCAATAACCTCGCCCAAAATCTTGGACATTCTTTTAGCCAGAACTTTAGATATCAGTTTATAAATACTACCCACCAGACTAATCAGTCTGAAATCTTTTACATTACAAGCTCCAACAATCTTTGTAATAATAACCAAGAAAGTTGTGTTAATAGATTTTACATGTATTTGTTGCGCACACACATGCATATATCTTTTTGTGTCTTTTATTGAGATTTTAATATTGAAAATCGTGCCGTAATAAACAAATACAGAGCAAAAGCAAAACAACTCAACGAGAACATCCATATTTAGAGAGAAGGATCAATGCATATTTGGTAAACTATCTTATAGGAACTATATCATTCACAAATTTAATCCTCTCCTTTAACCATTTTTTAAAAGTGGCTTGTGGCAAAGACTTACAAGTTACTGGAAGCAGCATCCATGTGGAATCTGTGTCAGACAAATTATTTTGGTTGGATGTGGAAGCGGATAGTTTGTGTTCTAAACATCAAGAAAGAGAAGTGAAGACATGACAGATTCAGTTCACCATCCAAGGACACATGAGAAGGGCAATCTAGGGAGAGAAACTTTTATGCTTAGAAGGTCACTGAGAATATCTATATGCATCGGAACCATGGTGAAGTTAGGGAAAGTCAATGCCTAACTGACAGGGGTGGTAGGCATACTGTAAGAGCGGTAACCTTAATCAGCATTAAGGATGTTCAACTTCTTGTTAGGTTGATGAGAAGAGCAACATCATGGAGCATGAAATGAATTATCTTGCATCAGCTGCCGTAAGATTTAGAAGATCACCAAGAGACTTAACTAGATAATGCATTATAAAATGTATTAATGGGAGATGCAGATGAAATTTCATGAACAAAGAAATACGGAATCCATGAAATCCTTCTGAGCCAAACAAATTAACTTCTTGTTGGGTTGATGAGAAAAGAAATATCTTGAAGAGGAAAAGATGATTAATCTTGCATCAAATGCCGTAATACCTAAAAGATCACCAGGACAGTTAAGTATAACATGTAGTCAAGTAAATGCCAGTCAATGTATAACAATGTTCTTTGCAGAAATAAACATAGAAAACATCATAACCTGCATGGTCCATGGGAATTGCTTCTGTCAGTCAACTAGATGATACAATTCATTATGTGTCACAAACAAAGACCCTGATGATGTTATAGAAACCCTCCATTTCTTTGCATCTGCTTGTTCAGGTGGAAAAATAATAGAAGAAAAAAAATGCTGGGATTTCAAGAGGAAAAATTTTGTTGACAATTTTCAGATCAATCAGATCTCGATACTTTATCATGTGAACGATAGAATGCCCAAGGACTATGCTCAAGTTAAGAAGACTCAAAATATACTTGACTTCTACTTGCACATGGCACTGCTGGACGTCTGTGCACTAGCCAAGGATGCCAATTGCGCAATTTTCTATGAGGTGCTTAAAGCCAAGAATGATAAACAAATGTCATTTTCCATAACATCTTTTATCCTAAGCTGCAAACTGAACATCTAGGTAGTTGGAAGTATGAACTATACCCAAGAGAAGGGGAGGCTTGGACCTTGACCAAGAATCCAAACTCTGAGATAACTTTTTTTTTTTTTTTGAAATAACTCTTAGATAACTTTTTATACAATTCCCTCCCACACCTTTTGTTTCTCACATTTTCCTTAAAAACTCTGTTTGGTTGTAGACAAATGTAAGACAAATAAGTAGAACAAAATTGCTGAATCTTTGTCACAAGACAAAAACAAATGGACAAACACCATGTCCAACACCATGCTTAATTAAAAAATAAGACATACTTATGCCCACAAACCAAAACTAAAGATAAACCAGATTCAAAATGAAAAGTCAGAAAATATTTATCCAAGATTAAGAATGAGAATCCTGCAAGACAATTTTGGATTTGAAAGAATTAAGGGCTTGTTGGTGAAGGGAGTGTAAGAAGTAGACGGGTATTTAAGAATGTGAAAATAAAGGACCAAATTTTTAAGCAAGTTACAAAATAAAAAGCTTATATGAATTGTAGAACATTTTTTAGACAGAAATGAAAATGGATTAAGAAGGCATCAAGGAAGTGTTCCACATGCACAAAATGGAGGAAATTTACAAGTCTGAGAAAATATCAATGAGATGTCCCCTTTACACAAAGAGAACACAGGAACCATAAACTCTAATGTAATGGAATGATAGCAAATTCAATCAACTCTATTCAAAAAAGTATCTTACGCTGTTTCCAAAATTGATGGTCCAGCATGACATAATAAATCAACAAACTAAACGTGTCTGATCATAAGTATACTCAACTCAGCTCTAAGCCTTAATTTTAAAGTCATCTAGTATAGGCTACAAAAATTATTTTCCAACATTCATATCATGATGCTCTATAATCAGAAAATATTTTCAGATAAAAATGAATACATACATAAATAAATGTATGCATATCATGCTAAAAGAATACAACAGCATTGTTTTCAGTCAGTTCACCTAAGTCAAAAGCCTGGAAAACTAAGGCTAAGAACTTGAATTTGACTACTCTGTCAAGGAACTTAAATTTGACTACTCTGCTCAAGGCTCAAGACACTCTGGTCAAGAAAAGTTCTCAATTGAACCATGCTTGAACGGCTCGAACCACATAGCTTGTCTATAGCCTACCCATTAACTGCACTCGAGAACTGAGTACACTATCTTAGTTGGAATTCAAAGAGTTGGAGAAAAAAGAAAGATTTTACTAACTTCCAATAAAACCACTGTAGGTTTACATATATACCTGCCGAAAAGGTTGGCTACCTCTTCGCATTCGCGTGAATTATAGAACCAAATACCATTCACTTCTTGCGCTGCGTTACGATATAATAGATACGGAACCTGGACTTCATACTCAAAATCTCCCAAGAGATTTTCCACCAAATTTTCTGTTGACACCAACATACCAATAAGCACTTAATAGTTAGACCAAAAGACACTTAATAGTTAGGACTGAAATACTCATGGAAACAAACGAGCTCTAATAATGAACAGGTTTAGATCTCAACATTCCCTGGCAAAGTGAAAAAAAAAGTCTCACCATCTTTAACAACAACTATTGCATTGGCAAGAAAAGTCAACAGCCAAAATGGTACAGAGATATATAAAGATATAACACCTCCCCCAAATCAAATAGTTTAAAAGCAAAATATAACGAACAAGAAAAGGCAAACAATTCATGACAAAGTTCACATTGTAAACTGCAACATAATCAACATTTCAATTAATCAAACCAAAAAAAAAATATCTCTAGTAAATCATGACACATAGATTCTTTACCATTTATGTTAGCTTCTTATTTAAAGAGACCTTGCCAAATGAACGGTAATGATTCAAAAAATCTGGCAACTTTAGATGTGATTTTCTTTTTTTTTTCTTTTAGTTGGAACATGTTAACAAAACTCATCCAAACCCCTTCTGGTCTTTTAGTATTTAGCTAAAACAATAAGCCTCAGATAAACAAATATGGAGCAACTAAATGCTAAACAGCAAACAGTGGAACTAAATCAAACCATTTCAGATAACCAAATAAGCAGTGGATGCTACATGGGAAGAAGTGAAACATTTCCATTTATAGAAAGTAATGCAAATAGATAACAAAATTTCAGGCTGTGGCACCATGAATGAAGAAGTTTCAAAGTCCATTCTCTGGAGGAACTTCTCAACAAAACAACATAAAATTTAGTCTCTTCACCTAATAAAAACTTATAGCAATATTTCCAGCTTCATAACTATCCATGGAGAATCACTCCCCAAAATATGTAACAGCAAACCTTTACTGATCTTTAATTTTTCATCTATTGAGATTTCTAACTCAGGATTTCACGAATCTTCTCATATATTTATTTCCGAACAAGAAGCTACAAGTAGACTTTGGGTGACATTCTAATTAAGTGAGTTGTCTAGAAGAGTGCATGCACACAAATGTACATACATGCATATATTATAGACATCCATGTTTTGTAATGATGTATACAGAAGTGCCTAACCTTTCTAAAACTAGTCCTGGTAATTCCTGCTGCCCTAAAAAATTAGTAAAATATCGCACAAAAGTATTCCTATACACTATTCTTAAATACTTCCAGCTGCCACTTTTAGTTTCAACAAAATTTGGTGTTTAAAATGAAATGGTTTTGGAATTCATATAGAACGTAAACATAATAGTAGAATTGATAAGAAAACCATTCGCCCATAGGATGTTGGGTTCATATTACTTCCATAATTTTTTTAAGGATTTCATCACACATCAAAATGGTAATAAAAACTTAATCACCTGACATAAATGAAATGAGAAGCAGTTATTCTGGAAAGTTTAAACTTTGCTGCAAAGAAGACTACAGCAAACCCACGCAACTCTTATTGTTCTTTAGGAATTAAATAAGAGATAAAAGCCAAAATAAATTATTTCTTAACTTCCAAAGTAGAAGATTAACCTTGAAGATAACAAATGCATCCTAAGAACGTAGACCTCTATTATAACTTAAAAACATATCCATCCCCCAGTTGGTTCAACTCCTCTAATTCTCATTCTCTTGTGTTTCAGTATGTGTTTCAGTAAACCTACAAAATTACTACATATACAAACTCAAAAGAGAGCCTCAAATATTCATATCAATACAAAATGTCCTTGTTAGAACAGAAAATTCTTCAATCAGTAGCATACGGATGATAAGCAAGAAAGCTAGATAATTTACTCCCCACAATCATAAGGGACTAAAGCAATTCAGCACACATCCGCGAAGCATAGAAACAGTGAGAAGAACTCTAACCTGTATTTCGCCGATTCATCACAATGAACTGAAACCGAGGTTGTGTATTCCTGAAATGACGACCAAAGGGGAAACGAAAGAAAAAAAATTACAGAACTCAACTGCAGTATAATAGCACGAAGAGGAAAACAAGTCAAACACGAAACCAACAGTTAAAAACCATACTCAACGAAATTGGGAAATAAATTCACCTCTTGACAACAAAGAGAGATCCCTCGACATCCTTCCGACTCTGGAGAAGAGACAAACACAATAACCAGATTTGCAGATTAATCGTATATCCATAACAAACAACACATGTTGCATGCTGATATAAAAAAATAAATGCGCATGTGCATTAATAAGTGTTCACCCATTGGCTGAGCTCGATGTTGAATTCATAGAAGGTGACATGAGCAGCCGTGATGAGGATTTCTTCAACGAAAGGATCAATTCGCTGAAGAACTGTGAGATTGAGGAGTTTCGTGCTTTGTTGGTCCAAATTCGGCATTAATTTTCCGTTCTGTGACATATTTTCCCAAAAATTTTGCACCGAAGATAAACCCTAGTCTCCCCGTCGGGTGAGAATGGGGAAAATGGAGATAAACAGGATTTGATACTTGATGTGCAAATCAAGCTTGCTTAAGAAGAAGATTTTGTTGGCCTTCCAACTAACGTGTCGCCGAATCAGACCCCAAGAACGGCACCGTTTTGATTTCTGACCGCATGGCCGCACGCTGCGAGGTTTATTATAGAAAAAGGAATAGTTTTTTAGCATAATTATTTTTGAAATTACATTATTTAATAATTAATAATGATTTAAAACGAAGATTATTAGATAAAAGTTAATAGTAGTTGTCGTATCAATAAATATACTTCGGATAAAATTTTATTTCTTGAATATTATAAAAGCAAAAGTCTGACATAGAAAATTAAAAAAATAATAATAATAATAATTTCATAAATTTTAAAATAATAATTTTCCGAAAAATAAAAAGAATAAAAAAATATTTTTATTTTTT